CCCGGTGGCCTCCATATAGGAGGCGAGGAACTGCTGCGCCATCCAACTGCAGTCGTCGGCCAGCAAACCATCAATTTCGGTGCCGTACAGCGGATGGTCTTCGGGGACCGGGTCCAAGGGGAACGGGTCTAATGGAGGCTCGCCGGCGGGAGGAGCCAGAGCCTCTGATTCGCTCAGGGCGTCATCGCTAGTTGGCTCCTCAGTGCCGGCCAGTGCGTCCTCGGCGCCACATGGAAGGCGCGCAAATTCCAGCGTGGTGGAGGAAGGGAGGTCAGGAGGCTCGGATCCCCGGGGAGATAGAGGTTGGGCTGGCGGGGAATGAAGGAGCACTCGGCGTCCCGCCGCCAGTGCCCGGAGGCAGGGAAACCGAACCGCGCTCGGCCAGTCCGGTGCGAGCACCACTGCTTCCAGCTGTGGCCTCGAGTCGAGGAATGCAACAAGCCTCGCGAGGAGGCTCCACGGACAATTGCACCAGCTGCGCATCCCCGTCTAGTTCTGTGCAAAGGCATCGACGCCAGACGTACCCACATCCCAATGCTGACTGTTGTAGGCCTCGCAGAGGGCATTCCGGGGGGACACAAAGCGGTCCACTGAATAGGCCCCGAAGTGGTGGACGACCTCCTAGAATATGCGCGGATTGAGCTGGTAATCCTCCGAAGTCTGTATACGCAAAAGCCTGTCCGGGAGGACATTGTCCACTGATCGAATGTACTCGGGCTCCAGCAGCAGCTTCTGCGTCGTACAAATAGCTTGCAACTGGCGAAGGGGCCTCAAGAGACTGGTAAACTTGGTAATCATCGAGTTGAGGCAGTGCAGAACCACTTGGTTGTCCACGAGCAAGCGAAGGCGGTGGGAAGTTGTCCTGGGGCACAGGCGAGGAAAGAAAGATAACAGGGCCAAGTACACGGCCTGCATTTCACGGGCATTGATGTGCATAAGCTCCCGATCAAAGAATCCGCGGGCAAGAAGGGGTTGATCACCCCCAAGGGGCGTAAAGGTGGCCCCCCAGCTGATCAGGCTGGCGTCCGTAGCGAGGGTGCCCACCAGCTCCAGGGAAGCAGAATTCAACGACCTGCCCGCCAACCGACCGATATGGGCCCATGCCGCCAATTCCAAACGAGCGGCGTTGGTCAAACGAAGCAGATCCCGCCAAAAGCGCTCGTGGTGCAAAAGGGAATTCAGATCCGTCAAGAAAAAACGAGCCAAGGGAAAGGCCAAGTACAAAGAAATGGCTGAGCCACAAAATCTGGCCAAATCCCGGGTAACAATGAATCCCATTCTACTAATCTCGTAGGCCCTCCACGAAATGGCAGCCACCTTGTCCGGAGGGACCTGAAATTGGCACCAATTGGTGTCGATCATGATCCCAAGGTGCTTCTTACGTTGCACCGGCTCCCACTGACATTTTGAGTCCTTGAAGGCGAGACCAAGTGCTGCAAAAATGCGGCGGACCAAACTAGTCCACTGGGTCAGCCAATGGGGATCCGACATGGAAGCAATGAAATCGTCCAAGTAGGCCAAAATTAGTGCGGGAAGTTCCCAGAGTCCTTTATGTAGTACTGTAGAATGGAATCGTCCCCCGCTAAGTGACCAAATCGAAACCGATGAGCAGCCTTAGGACAAGAGTTGGGGGTCCTTAAAAAACGGACCACTACCAACATAAGCTGCATGAAATAAAAGGGAGAGAGGGCCAAGCCAAAAGGAAGAGCCCGGCAAGCAAAAGTCTCCCCGCCCATTCGAAACTAGAGGAAATGCTCTTGATCAGCTCTCATACAAAGATGATGATAAGCGTTTTTGGTATCGAAACCCACTAAGAAGTCATGCTTCTTTAAAAGAAAACCAAAATCCCAAAGTTTCTCATAACGAAGACCGACCTTCTTGAGGTGGCGATTGATGCGCCGAAGGTCGATGACCAAGCGGTACTTGGTCTCTCCATTCTCCACCGCCTTGGCCACCAAGAAAGCTCGCAAAATCCGGGCGTCGGAAGAGGGGTTGGTCCGGACGATCGGCCCCATCTCGAGGTACTCGTCCCGCAGCTCCCACCAAGCTCGCCATTCCTCTGGAGTCGTCAATGGATACTTGCCCTGATCAAAGGGGGCTGGAGGGCCCATTGGGCCCCATTGAAGGGGGGCCCCCGTGTGGATCCATTGCAACACGTGCGAAGGCGCCCGGATGCGGCACCACGCAGTAAGCCAGCCCTGAAGACGAGCGTAAGGAGGGTCCTCTAGGCGGCGGGTTTGGGGGCTGGGGCAGAGCGCTGGAGCCTGCCGGTGCCTTGGAACTCTTGCCCTTGAAGTATCGAGCGCCGGGCGTTGACGCGCCCGTAGAACCAGAGGCCGGAGCGGCGCGATCGAGGTTGGCCTGGTTCTTGGCGGCCACCGACTTGGTCGCCAACTTCAGCTGTTGATTGAGGACTTCCTTCCGAATGTGCTCCAGCGGCTCATCGATCAATAAGTACCAGAAGCGCCGATGAACCGCGCCCAGCCGGACGTTGGTCTGGAGCGCGCGCCACAACCCATCGAGGGACATCCCCTTGTGCTCCACGTGCACTTGTTGAATACGGATTAGGCTCTGCAATCTTGTCGTAATCGTCACGAGGGCGTGGAGGTATGGCAAGAGGGCGTCCCAAAAGATGGGCGGGAAATCCTGGTGCGCCGCAAAGTCGATCAGGGAGGACGTGAGGTCAAAGAGCCATGCGACATAGGGCGCCCAGTTCTGGTACTCCTGGAAGTAGCCAGAGCCGGTCCCAAGCGCCTGCACGGGTTGCGTGCCTTTGGAAGTCTGCCGCACGTCGAACCACTCTAGAAAGCGGACCCCCGGAGGTCGGACCACCGAGTTGGTGACTAGCTGTGGAAGGAGCCGGGGGTCCGGGAGCCAGATGGCGTCGAGAGAAGCCATAGGCGGACCGTCGTTGAAGTGGACAGCTTGTTCTTGCAGCCACTGCTCCGCAGGTGTCCGGTTCTTAAAAAGAACTCGGCCAAAACGGCCGGGGAGGGCAAGGCACTCGGTGCCTTTGGGTTGTGCCAACCAGTGGCGCGAAGCGAAACAAGATATGAGGGGGACCGAGGGGGGAGTCTAAATAGCCGCCCCCGCTCAGCCCCGCCAAAGCCCGCCAAGTCCAAGGGCGCCAAAACGGACGGCACCTTGGACACTACGTACTTTGACTGACACAAGGTACTAGGAAGGGCCAGAAACCCGTTTGAATACAACTGCGACCGATTCGAAACTGGGCGCAACCCACCCAACGTCGCCCTGGGTGGAAATCTATTAACAAGATAGTTAATGTCATTGATTGGCCTTCTGTGCGACCCGTCTAAGGCTCTTTTGTCGGCTTGGATTGTGGGAAAGCATGCCAAGGCGCGAGCATTCGAGGCAAGAGGGCGCACAAAGATTAAAGGATAAGGTTTGCAGGGGCAGGTGGGCGTTGGGGGGTGGTGCAGACAGCGCCCGCAGCCGATCCCTGCAACGCTGTTGCTTCGACGAGAATTTTGATGCGGCTAAGATGTCGCCAGTGTCGACGCCTTCCAACCCTTTTCCCTGCTCCAGCTCCTCGAGACACGGTGCCGAACAAATGAATATCTGTCGACAGTCATTGGGCAAAATGCCCAAGGGTTGGACTTAAGCGCAGGTTTCGTTGCCAGTAGTGCAGACACCCCTGCCAATCGAGTTTTACTGTTTGCGCTACCGATCTGCTGATGGGCACAACACCAGCACTGACCATTGCTGATGCATGAATCTATACTCACATTAATGTGCGGCGCGCCTCCTAGCCCCATTTCACGCCCCGTTTCGAGGAAGAGTCTGTGGAGTTCATCTATGCGACAATGTACGGGCTGGTGCCCGCCGTCATCTCACGGTGCAACCGCACTCTTGGCAGATGCACTCTAGCAGCTTGGCATACGCCAGAGCTTCCCGGCTTTTTGACAAAATGATCGAATACTATGGACAGTCCCATTCCCAGCAAAACACACTTTTCTGGCGAATGCGCCACATGCACAGTACATTAGCGGCGCTGGGAGCAGGCGACACTCGTTCGGCCCCTCCAGTCTCCAGCTTCCAGTTTCCAGTCTCCACTCTCCAGTTTCTGCGGGAGCATGAGGAGCACAACAGCCTCCCAGCGCTCTGAGCCCGGAACACCGTTGTCAGCACTTTGACAACACAAACATTCCCTGAATGCCTTATGACAATAGACACAAATTTCCACTCTATACAAACGGTTCCCCACATCAAACACAATTTCTGCATCGGTCGTTTTCTAGAGCAGCAACTCGATGGAAGCTCGTCTCAGGCATTCCACTGCGGCCAATTCAATACACCTCAGGCCCCTCACGCGAGCATGCGATCTACAACCTAACCCTTGCCAAGGCCGCTGGCACAGCTGCCACGGGACGCGCCGGTCGCTGCCGCCTCGCTGCAGACAGCAAAGGCGCCTAAATCCCAAGATTATCAACAGGCAAAAAGAGAAGGCAGCCCCCCGAGGGCTGAGCCTTTCCCGCGATATCGGCTACACACTGCGGCCCACTGCAGCGTTGTGTGTCCCACAGTTTCGTGTTATTGCCCACCAAAGCAATCCTGCTGCGCAAAGCGCCGAATTAAATTCGCCAAACTCGGCTCTCGTGCGTGTTTCAGAGTGTTCAGCAACCGGCCATCCCAAACCAGGCCCCACCAGAGTTTTCCACCCACACATTTGTCAACTCGACAGCAATATCTTCGAAGATCGAACGCAATGTCATGTCGGCCATCCAGCAGCAAAACACCCTTTCAGCACAACCGTCGATGGCCCAGTGGCAACGACGCAAACGTGCGCCTTTGCCAAGTCTGCAAGCGCGCCACAGGTGGGCCGAAGTGAAGGGGACAAACTGATGTGCCACGGATGCAAAACTGCAGCGCAACAAGAGTGCCCCCACACCACCAGAGCGCTAATTGAAATTGGAGTAGTGAAGGAGCAGCACAGCTCCCTCCAGGGGGCCAATTTCCCAGCACGCACTCCTGAAGTTCCTTCACAGTTTCGCCTCCAGAAACTGGATGGGCTGTGGCTGCGGCGTGCCCACCACCACCTGCGGTGGAAACTGCAGTGGCGGCGCGCCCACATCCTGCTGGTACATGGGCGGAGAGGCGATCACCTGCCCTGGGACCTGGGGCCCAACCGGTGGGTTCGTGTTCAACGCCTGTGTCTGCTGGCGATTTCGGTTGCGGACGATGTGCACGCAGCAGGCGCCGAAGCAGGCAAACAGTGCAATCAAGAGCACGACCACGACAACTGCGGCGATAATGGCCCAGAAGGTGGCTGGACAGCCTGAAGAGGCACAGAGGATGCCCCTCAGCAGCAGCAAACACACAACACTGGTGCAGAGGGTACCCCTTGGCAGTGGTTAAATATGGCAACAATGACAAGTGCCCCTTCAAATGTGTTCTTCTCTGTTTTTTCCCATTGATACACTCTTCTTGGTAATTCAGCACGAAGTACAGATGTTTGAAGTGACAAGTATCTTCACAGCATCATGGTGCCACATCCGGAGACAACATTGTTCTGATCAGCCACATGAGGTCTCCTGCTTCACAGACTACACCAGCGCTGCTGGTGGGTTGATGTGAGGCATCTTTCTTGGCAGGCTCACTCATTGATCGAGGAAAATGCAAAGATGACGGTCCAAAACACTGTTAATGAAACACAAGAACACCATGCACGTAAGCATTCCACGATCGCCTTGGAAGGCAAACAGTCAGCACTTCGCTGCTCTTTGACAAAAGCCAACGAGGATCAACATGGGTCTCAATAGAACAAAATAGCAAAACTCATAAAAATCAAAGGACTGACATAGCAACACAGCAACAATGACCAGCTCATCTTCCACACGTTTCACTCACCATTGACCTTGAATTCGATTACAACTGCCCCTGAAGAGGAGGCCTTGAATGGGGGCGACTCGTTGTCCCTGTTCAGCATCACTAAGCAGTATGAATGCCTCTCGGAAACATCCACCTTGATGTCGCACACTGTGCCTTCGCAGACACTCTCCTCTACATACTTCGACTGCAAGACACACAGCGTGCACTTTAGTAACAAGCTACACAACTTACATCGCAATTCGCAATTCAGAAAACAATAGATCTAGACGGTTGCATTCATACACCTTGCTAACGCACGATTGGCGCTGTGTTTGGGACTGTGACACAGTGATTGGCATACATCCATGAACATTGTTCGCTCCAAGCTGGAAATCCAACTTCAGAAAGGAAAGTACATTGAAACCCCAACAGGTCTCACAGTGCCCCAAAACCCTAGCCACTGAATGTAGTTAGTGTTATCTACTGCCTGTGGTCAAAACTTGTGATAACATTTCTCAGGAGACGTAATCAATCATTGCCTTACAAGTTGCAGACGATGGTTGGCTCATGGCCATGCACATCGATTGTTCACATCTCATCGTTTGCTCCTTTCTACAAGTAGTGCAATTGCCGTAGATGGCCAGAACTGCCTGGCGTGCACAACCCTGTGTTCTTGTTGGGCTCCCACCAGAAGCAACCAACACGCAAAAGCACAGCAAGACAACAAGCAGCCCTTTCGGGTAAGTGATAGTATGCAGTCCAGTGTCGCATTTTGCACAGCACTACCCGAAGTATGAAGCATTACCGGCACCAGGCGTAGTGCATGATCAGTGAACTTAGCCAGGAAAGGGCTCTGTGTCAAGCAAGGTCCAGGAGGCCTTGGGATGGACGTACCGAATTCGCTCCCTGAAGCGAGGCTTTGGCTTCAGATCTGAGTGCCACGAAGGCCATGATGGGCTTGTTGGCCTTGAGGGTGTAAGCCACGCACGTTGTGGCCCCCTTCTCAAAACAGACCCCCTTGGAGCTGTCTTGCAACACCCTAGCAGTGTGTACCTCATTCCATTCGTATGCATGCTCGCTGCCAGCATACTTAAGCGCACTGTAATGCACAAGTGCACAAGAACTCAAAGTGGAGCTTGAAGATGGACACTGCCCAGGCATGTCCAATGGAGGGAGGCAAGGCATTGTACAGCATTTCAGTTACCCACAATCGGACTGCCAACAATAGCAAAAACACCCGCCACACTCAGCATTTCTCCATTCTATCTATGATTTTCCATCTGATTCTATCTATTCTATTTTCTGTTATTCTATTCTCTATCTGTTTCTATCCGTTCTATCTAAGGTTTTGCAAGTGTTTCATGAACCCTTTCCTTATTTCATTCTGCAGTAGGCAGAGCAGTATGAAATTCGCATTTGCAAATTGAAGAGATTTTCCTACTCTAAAACTGCTGTGTGTGTCTGCCTACAAGGGTGGTGCGGTGTGAAATGCACTCGCCACAGTGTCATCACCTTTTCAAGCCACAAAGTGTTGAAATAATGTACAGTTCACCATGATTCCATGCCTCCCCAACAGTGTGTTCCTTTTTGCCTTTTCCCATTTTCTCCTTTCTTGTCGCCTTGTCCTTTTCTTCTTACTATTTAGCGTTTCTCTTGTGGGCAACACTAGATGCATGTTGACGGCAAGATTCGATGATGTAGATGTGTTGAAATCATTGGCACGGATGGAGACGAGATACTTCCTAGCAATCAGCCTCCAATAATCTGACGACCATGAACAGCAGAAACATGTGGCAGGGGCAGCCATGCAGAGGGCAGCAGTACTTTATTCGCATTCTTAATTTTCATTTTTCGCTGATCAATAAATACCATGCACTGTCCAGTCAGCTGCAAAGCGATGCAGTGGGTTACAAGGCCCCATCAACTCAGGTCGGCCAGGGTAAGCCCTTGGACTTGCGTATGCAAGGCAAAATTTGGAATTAGGAAGTTGAACAATTCTGGAAGTTCTGAATTGTGAAACTAGTGCAATCTGAAATTCGTTCCCTTTTCCAGGCACAGGCAACAGTTTAAGGGACAATTGCTTTTGAGCTGGAAAGCACTGCCCAGCAACAACTACTGGAATTTTATAGGGCCATGTGGTGCCAGTGTTCCAGTGTGCTGGAATAGCAGCACATTTGCATTAAAGGGTGTGAGGGAGTGGTTGCCAGATTTAAACTGCCTAATTTGCATCGACACAGCTGTGAGACACATGCGCTAGCACAAATTCATGTGTGCGACCTACTGCATCATTACAGACAGTGTTGCTGAACACATCATGATTAAGTCACGCATCTGTGCACAAAGCACAATGCTAGTGACCAGCTAATGGCATGCCCTAACTGCATGCAATCTTCATCAGAAAGATGTTCAGCCACATCCACTGACACCTGTGCGCGGATACAAACATACGGTGCTGGCAGAGAACTCCACATACCCAGAATTGGAAGCACCAATGGCATCCTGTCTTACAACCCCTCAGTGTGCTGGCAGAAAGAGCCAGTGCATGCAGCCAACAGCAGAAGATTGCTGTTTTGTTTCACAGAATTACTTGTTGGGGCATGGGGTAGGGGTTGCTTGTGCAGCATTTTTTGTCCCTTTTTTTGTGTTTGGAAGACGATCCGGCCCAAAACTCATCAAGACAACGATATGGCGAAAAGGTTATCAAGGCCTGAGCACACGTGCAAGCCAGTCAAGGCCACCGCAGACTGACCCATGTAACCCACCTCACTGAGAGGATGGCTGACAAGCCCATCAGCGCCAACAGCACCCGTGCCGGTGGCGCCATGCAGCGAGCCACGGCCATGAATACAACCCCCGATGCTACACCCGAGATAGTTGTGGATGGCAAGCAGCCGCGTCTGCCAGTGGCAAATAGAGCAGCAAGGAGATCAGTCTTCACCAGACGGCCCTGAGAACTGCCAGCCCCCACAGACAAGCGGAAACGATACGGGGGCCGTGCAGTGACAAGAGCTGTCTTCAGTGGACCGCAACTGCCCTCCAAAGACAAATCACGGGCTCTGATGGCGATGGCGGGCGTGTTTCCGCAAACGTGAGGGAACGCGCTCGCGACCGCGAACAGACAGAATGAATGCACTCACAACCGCGGACAAATGGACAACTCGAGCGGCGAGGTTTTTCGCGCTTCTGACGCCGAGCCCCGCGGCGAATCTGGACCCTGCCCTTGGGCCAGGGCGAAGCGGGCGGCAGGGGATTTCAGCACCGGCTGGCGCCAAACTTCGCAGCCAGGGCCACAGCATCCCCCGCCCACCGCCCCAGAAAGATCCTCGGGATGCATCCGCACTCCCAGGGCGAAACACGGAGCCCTTGCGCCACAGAAAGCGATCCATCCCAACCGTTTGCTGGTTTTCATTCCCAAAGCTAGACAGCGGCCCGATGCCCCCAAATCACTGTAATGCGACTCCCTGCCAGGTACCGCCTGGAGCACGTGATGTGAGCCGCAGCGCAAAAGCGACCGAGTGATTGGCCGCGCACTTTCGGGTCCAGTGGTTGAAAAAGCGCGCACAACGGGGAAGAGAGGGAGGAGACAAACTCGGGTCATTTCTGCAGAGGAGGAACAGGACCGCAAGCCTGGCTGGATCGTCGTCGTGGGAGCACGGCGCGGCAGGACAGGAGGGTGGCGATGTGGGCGGGAGATGCCACACGCGCCGGGGCGATGAAGCGATGCGGCGCGGAACGACTGCCAGCTGGAGAGGTCAGCAAGGTCCCAGATCAGGCGCGAGTGCGGGAGCCGAGGATCGCGCACGGCGGACAAGACTCGAACGAGACCACGGATTCCGTCCCAGGGTCCCTAAGAAAATGGCGGGAGCGCGCACCGGGCAGCCACGCCGAAATTGCGACGCACGGCGTCCTGAAACATTCATGCGGCGATCAAGTCTCTGCCTCGGCAGGCCAGAAGGCCCGTCTGGGGGAAGGCAGCCAGCGCGGCTCCCCGCCCTTGCGGCCCCGTTTCCCTCCACCCCGCTCCCGACTGGTTCACCGAAGCCACCGGAACCCCCAGACGCCCGTGCAAAGACCCTAAACGCCCAGAATCCACGCTACACACGCGCCCACCTTGCCCCTCCCCCGCCCCTCCTGCGCCCCTCCCACGCCAACCCGCGCCCTGCCTCCATCGAACCAAACCCTTCAGCCCAAATTCCCGCAGCTCAAACGGACCAAAACCGCTCCACATCCAATCCCCTACCCCTTACTCGCCATGTCCCGCCTTCCCCACACGCGCAGCTTCCTCTCCCTCACCTTCAAGCCGTCGCGCGCCACGATCGCGCCCCGGCCGCGGGCCCTGCGTCACGCGAATCCTCCGCCGAGGGGAACGAATTACGCGCAGGCTCCCTTGCGCACGCGGCGGATCCCAATCACGCCCTCTCGAGCGATGCCGCGGTAGGCTGCAGCAGATCGGCCGAAGGCGGGGGGGAGTGGGGGAGGGGTCAGGCGGGCGGCGGCGGCAGCGGCGAGCAGCGCCTGCCACGCGTGGCCATAGCTAGGGAGGCGCGGGGGGAGCGTGCGCCCGCCTGGAAGGCAAAGAAGTGGTCAAATCCATTAGGCGCTGATGACAAGAGCTCAAGGGAGAAGCTGATCCAAGCCATCGGCCGTCAGACGGATGAGTGCATACGGGTTAAAGTACTGGAGATGGCGGCGGCGGTTTCGGCGAGCGAGCTCCTTGATTGAATACGGGCGAGGCCCCCCGTGGCGAGGATTGGGAGTGACGTCAGTCCCACACATTTCACGTATGGCACTGACTGTGCGGGACAGCCTTGGGGACCGCGGCGCACACGGTGGCTGGGGCCTCAAGCGGCAGCCTGGGCTTCCGGCCTATTCTGGCTTCCAGTGCTTCCGCGTGCGTCGACAAGTTGCTGGCAACATTTGGGGAGCCTTTGCCGTTTGAGGACAGTACCGGCTCGTACACACCCCATGCTGCTCGCAAGACGGCCAGAAAGCGCACTGGCTCCGTTTCCTTTCAATAGTACAGCCGTGCGCAGCAACGCCGCTGTCGCCGAACGGCACAAACGTGCTGTCTCATCTGGGCAGAAGTGTGCTGTGCGTTTCACTCGTGGACACGTAACCTATTGCTTGCTACTGCATCACTCAGCGTTCTGTATCCCCTTGCGAACAACGCACAACAGCTGTCCACGCCATACATACAGCTTGGGTGGTCTTTGGTGCTCTGCGACCCAATCAATGACCAAATGTCAAAATGTTTCCTACAACGAGTGTAGGGACGGCATGGCGTGCAGTCAATTCAACAGTGAAGAATATGATTTCCTGTCGGGCAAAGCACTGGGCGAGTGTGGGGCCCATGATGTATTGTGTTTGGTGTACTTTTGAAGCGACGGGTAATCGAAAGGCCTGCTTCTCAAAGCATTTGTTTCTTATGCGCCGTTTGGCTCTGAAGTCACCGCAGCGCCAATACATCAGCTCACAACACCCTGCGCTGAGAGTGAAGCACAAACAGAGGCAAAAACCTGACCGTTTTCACATCTATTTGCGTGATTAATCGCGTCCACCTGCCGGAATTCGCGCAACAGCAGCGGCAGAGTGGCCTCAGGCGCTTATGCGCTGCCCGTTTTCGCCATGAATTGTGGATGATCTTCGAGAAACGAGGGCGGAGATTTTCCGCTGCGAGACTCCACCCTCCTTCAGGCGACCGGACGCACACCTGCACTCTTAACACGAACGCAACCAGCAAGGAATTACACTCCGCGACCCAAAACATGGCCCCAATCACTGACTAAAACGCCAACCACGTCGGCCCGCGCTGCCGTCCAGGCCATCAGTACACGCGTGCAAAGGGCGGGATGTGCTCCATCTCGTCGTCCAGCGGCTGATCGTGCACCGGCCTGTAGTCGATCTTCACCTCCCCTGAATTCAGATCGCACCACCCCAGCGAGTGCTTCATCCAGGCCTCGTCATCTCGCTTGGGGTAGTCCTCATGTGCATGGGCGCCGCGGCTCTCCTTGCGTGCCTCCGCTAGGTGCATGGTGATGGCTGCGCAGGTCAGCAGGTTCTCCAGCTCCAGGGTCTCCAGGAGGTCGGAGTTCCAGACGAGGGAGCGGTCCGTGACCTAGGGCGGGGGCCGGCGCCATCAATTGATTGGGGAACTGATTGGCATTGATTGGAAACTATTGAAATTGAATGAAAATGATTGAAGGCGATTGGAATTGATTAAAATTGAATGCAAATGATTTGCACTGACTGGATGGGACTGGCATTGGGTGGATTCGGTCGGAATTGATTGGAATTGATTGGCAGTGATCGGAATTATTGGCTTTGATTGGAATTGACTGGAGGTGTTTGATGGGTTAAGGTTTGATTGGGATTCACCAGAGTTGATGGGGTCTGACTGATTGCGGATTCATTGTACTTGATTGGGATTGGTGTTTATTATCGTCGATTATATGGCTACTGATACTCGCGTTTGTCAAGCGCTGGGTCATGCGATGCGAACTGATTGGCGGTTGATATTCATGTCGGCAGTTAATTGAGCAATTGACACTGAACTGCGCGCTGGCTGGATGAGCACTACCAGCCCTGCAATGCGACAATCTGTCACCTGGAAGCCATGAGCTTCCGGTAAACTCCCCATAAGCGCATGCACTTCGTCCATCCAGTACAACGTGAAGCGATACACATGACACACAAAAATACAGATAAAAGCAAATTTTGCAAATGCAGAGCTGCACATAGTTTGGCACGTGAATGCATGTCAGCTCATGCATCAGATGAACAGCAACAGCACAAATAAAGTTGACGTTGGAGGAAAGTTTGCCATTTCACACAATTTTCAAATAACGTATTCATCCGGGCAATTCTCTCAAATTCGTGCCATTGTGGCGTACGAAGTGCAACATAACAAACACAAGTAGTGAAGCAATGAATCACCATAGTTCGAAACCGAAAACGACACAAAGGCATACATATGAGCGGTATTTCCGATTTGCACCGGCGTGACCTTGATAGCCGCCCCACCTTCACATCCTTGAACGACTGCACACACTGGTCGATCTTCTGTACGCCCTCCTTCAGCGACTCCGACGTCCTGAAGACAGCCGCGTGGTTCTGCATGATCTTTTGCATGTCTTTGCGGACCTGAGCCGTCGTCAGGCTGCCCTTGGCGTTCCTCAGCTTGTCGATGCGGGAGACGCTCAGCTCGCCGGCGTCTGCCGGCAGATCTTTGTGTGGCATGCCGGGCTTCATAATCTCCCCTACAGATGGGCGCAAACTTGTCACCAATGGCAGTTGAACAGGTTCATCATCATCACCATCATGAAAGTCTGCAGAAGAAAGCAGGGAGGTAGCCGCCAGTTTTCTGCTTTCCCCAAGAAAAGCGGTGTCGATGATATGCTCATTTGAAAATCTAATGCCTGACAAAAACAAATTCCAGAGTCCATCAATTCCTAATCGGCGAGAAGTGTACGGCGACGACAATGTCGTGGGAGTATTGTTTGAGCCAGTTGGCGAGGGGGGACATGAGCACAAGTGTTTGTGCATGGCTATGAGCAGTTCATACTGCAATACAGAACGCAAATGACGCGAGCTGGGCACGGCACTGGAATGGTGCGGCAACGAACTTCACAGTGCAACATGTTCGCAACAATCGAAATTTCAACGGTACTGGTGGGAAACCGAACAAAAGACACTCCTTCCTTATAGCATCATTCCAGCGAACTCATGCTATATTCAGAACTGGTACAGTACCCAGCCACCCAATTTAACAGCATCGAAACTAAATACAGTCACACTCAAAGATGCAAATGTACTGAAGGCAACTTGAGCACAAAACACATGCAGTGCGACACATGGCTCTGCCATCGAGTCACTGCATAAAAGGCCCAAAATTCAACACAAATCAGATTCCACACTGATTAACCTCATTTCCAAGTTGCCTTGAACGTCGTAGTTTTAATTCAGGCGCATTACAGTGGCCGGAATGCATCAACCCACCCCTCAATACGCCATGGGGTACGGGGATGGCACAAGGACCAGTGCTCATAGTCAATAGTCAACAAGTAAGCACACTGAGCACACACGGCATGACAGTTAGCAGCAACATCCGAGCACATAGTTGCACCGCAATCTGCCAGAAGGGTGTCCCTTGTCAAAGGCCGCCCAGCAGCCATGCACCACTCACCACATGTTAGCGCACAGCCCCGCCCAAAGATGACGATGTCCAGGAGGGAATTCGCACCAAGGCGATTGGCCCCGTGGACGGATGCCGACCCCACCTCCCCTGCCGCCATAAGGCCGGGCACGATGGCGTCGGGGTCGCCACCCTTGGGGCAGACCACCTGGCCCTTGTAGTTGGTGGGCGTGCCGCCCATGTTATAGTGCACCGTGGGCAGCACAGGGATGGGCTCCTGCAGAGAAGGCACTAGTGAACTTGCTTCCGTTTTATTCGACTTCACAATGCTGCACCACGTTCATGGATATTGAATTGGGATACAAATGGATGTTGACACTTGCACTTGTAAAATGTTGCAACACTTTTGACTTAATTGGGTGTCTTGCAGACAAGAGTGGATGAACTTCCAGCTGGGTTAAAGTCAGCTAACTCAGCTATTGCTGGCCTATTTGTTAAGTTGCTCTTCTAAACTATTAAGCCATGTACTGCTAATGCTGGCAGGTAGGCAAGAACTGTCCTAGTGAGCTGCTGGTTTTGTAGCAAAAGCACAACAGTATGTCACCATAGCAACAAACAGCAGTGCAGAACACAGCACACAAAGCTGATCAAAGGCTAAAGTACGTGTCGACAACATAGGGCAGGCAACCAACATTCAAAGTGCATGACACATCAGCACTGAAGGCACAGTGCCTGCAAAGCTGGTGTACAACTCCGCACAGGCACTACAGGTGGAGACCTTCATGTATGTCAGTGCATCTTTTCAGCAAAAACACAGCTGTGGGTACAGATGCGCACTGAGGACTGTATGATTCTGTCCAATGCACAAGCAATTATAACCATTGGACAAGGTCAGTGTGGATGAATACTATGAACAATCAACTAACTTGCCATGGACTAACCACGCCCACTACAAAGTGAAAAGTTACAGGGGCCCTCTGCACTAGTTCTTCTCTTTGGTGTGCTGATGAGCAAACGATGGAAAATGCGCTGCTTAAGCAAAAGGGACACATCATCGACATCGAATCCACATTCTCACTCTCACCTTTGTGACATCGACACCAGCAAAGATGCCAGCCGTCTCAGAGATGCCTGGCAGCCTCTCTGCAAGGATCTCTGGAGGGAGGTGGTCCAAATGGAGAAAGATGTGGTCTTTCTCGGGGCCCACACCACGGCCCTCCCGAATCTCCATAGTCATGGATCGGGACACCACATCGCGGGATGCCAAGTCCTTTGCAGTGGGGGCGTACCTGTGGACAATGGCATGATCAAATTAGGTAGGTTCGTCACCGCAAGGAGAAGAAACCATGTCACACAATAAGGAAACACACTGTGAGCAACAGATGTTTTGAATCTGTGATTATGTGAAGAACAATGAATGCACAAAGCCATTCATGTTCTTGGCATGTTACTCTTGCAGTTGCAGCCTTCACGTTGGTCCAACACACAGAAGTTCAGAACAAGCCTGAATGTTGCATGACTTAGGTTCATTTTTTGCATCAGTGATACATGTTGAGCATAATAATTTGGGCTGATACATCTTCTGCCACAACGTTTAGGCCACTGTAGATGAACAGATCCCATGCTCACCAACGTGCAGGCATTCTCCAGCTTACCTCCTGGGGGATTGAAAGCGGTTGGGCAAGATGCTCATACTGCTTGTTAGTTTGCAATGTGAAAGATGTGCACATGTGAAAACTGCTTGGATTATGCAAAGTGCACATACTGCACAAGAATTGTAAACATCTAAAAGTACAGCACATTTTCATTTTCCTGTGTTCCTGCCTCTGGCAGAAATGTACAAGGCACAGGCTCTGCTTCCCTAGGAAATTCTCAGTTGCCCTAGATGAATTGCAGCCGCACTTATCACAAGCACCACCATAAATTTTCACAACAACTGGCTGCAGCACCAAACCCACAAGAGATAAGTGCTGGACGGATGTGCTTTTGCTCAGTTGCTGCAGGACAAACGAACAGCTGGCCACATTGCTGAAGAACTGTGTATATTGACCCCCTGCTTTGTTCCCATAACTGCTGCACATCAACAAGCATCTTCTCATAGCTGGATGCCCATTGTTGGAGAGCTAGCACAGAAGCCCATTCCAAACTGGAGTTCTGGGTTAGGTTTGCATTCAAACAGGTAAAGCAAGTTGAGATGGGTCAAAAATATCCACACTTGTGCGCACATAGGTGTGTGCTTGTGTGCACAAATGTTAGCATATGGCCCAAACAATTGCACACACACCCAATGAAAGTATGCATATGTCCAAAGCAACAGACATGGCTGTCGAAAATCACCTCTCCATGAACCTCTCGCCCTGGCTGTTTCTCAGTATGCCACCCTCTCCACGGGCCCCTTCGGTGATGAGGCACCCAGCACCATAAATCCCAGTGGGATGGAACTGCACAAATTCCAGATCTTGCTGCGGGAGGCCAGCCCTACTGACCATTGCATTGCCATCACCTGTTGTGGGCATTGACATCAGCCTTGCCCAAAAATTCCTTCATGTGCATGGGGATGCATAGGGCTGTTTGACTGGTGGAATGCAAGAGAAGCAATGTGCACAAAAGCCCATTAGCCACTTGAATTCACAGAACATAAACGATTTCATGAGATTCTACACATTTCAAAACTGCTTCATGGGTCAGGTCCTTTTGTTCTACACCATTCCATTTGTAACACAGAAGAAATCTGGCCATTGAAGCCAGGCACATTCAGTATGCCAGGGCCGGTTCTCCACTCACGTAGATGTGGTATCCAGCAGAGATAAGGGTGGTGCAGTTAAAATGAAGCAACAACAAACCAATCCTCCTAGTGTTCGCAACACGCAGTTACATGCCGCTAGGTCAGCAATATGGCACATGCAGCATATTCTTTCTTTCTCGTAGAATTCTCTGGACTCACTGAGAGAGCAGATCTGACTAAACATTGTGGATGCCAGTGTTGTCCCTCTCAGCACATTTGAGGGTGCAGCCAGCGCTTGGTTGTGTTTGACGAATCCAATCATAGGACTTGACTTTATCTTGCGCCATATGGAATGTGATGATGGTCAGTTCTGTTCAGCAGCCATAGGACTGGCACTTCCAACATATCTCAAATGTGCAGGGTCATGACCTGTGCATGTGTGTGCAGATGTCGCAGAGAAGTATGCCCTTCCATAGCCACCTGTTGCCAGGATGGTTTGGTGGGACCTGAATCTGTGCAGGCTGCCATCTTCCATGCAGAGTGCGGTCACGCCCCTGCAGCTGCCATCCTTGTCCATTATCAAGTCTAGTGCAAAGTACTCCACTGCAGTGCAAAGACAATGCAAAAACCTCAGCCGATTCACTAAAACATTCAGCCACACAGCACAACGCAAATACAGTGTGAATGTGTCATTGCTTCATTGCTGGATTTGTGGAGTGTATGGGTCAAACGGTGTCTCACTTTACAGTGTTGTGGTATACCATCCTCATAACACTTGTGGGCATCTACAGTGTCATTCTTGAAGTTGGGTTCATGAACAGAAAGGGTACATGTCGTGCTTGCGAATGTGTTCACATTCTCTGGCACTGGGTCCTTTTATTGGATTGTTGGGGTGTCGCAGCTGATGTGAAGATAAGGGGCAGACGTGCTCTTTAAAATACATACAGCGATCGGTAAAGATGTAGTCACATGCTTGTCCACCAACTGGGGATCAAATGGCCAAGGGAGCAAGCAGAACTGAATCATCAGTTGGGGGACGAAAACTCAATCAGGCTCGGGTTGAAATTCAGTGCATCCAACCAAGCACTGATAAGCAAACTCCATCTACAGGAGCAGATAAGTCGCATTCATCAAATGGGACAGATGTGTGGTATCCGAGGTATCCAAGGTAGTGAATTCCTTGAAGAACTGACTGTCAAACTGCAACTCTATTACTCACAGACCTCCTCCATTGGAACAGGGCAGACAATGGTGGACGCGCTCGTCAACACACCAGACAATTGGCAAACAGACTTACTGCTGGACCTCTTGGGTGATTATTAAGATGACAAGAAGCACTGTGGTCAACGCTGGAAGGACAATTTGCAACTCTTGCAAACAAAATATAGTCGTTTTGCACTGCATCTGGGCACCACCACTTCTGCTATTGGAGTGTCCTGCCATAAGTTAATCTGCAGTGATCGACTGGCCCATGCAAAAGATGAAATCACACACTCACCAAAAAACTGGCAGTCAAACTTCATGGACATCCCATACAATGTGTGGAGCATCGAGTGGCCTGTCCTGTCGGCTGATGCCGCGCATCGGTATGCCTGGCCACCCTTTCCAAACTTCAGGCTCTGTCCCCCAAAGGCCCGCTGGTAGATCTTGCCCTCCTTGGTCCTGCTGAATGGCAGCCCGTAGTTTTCAAGCTCGATCACGGCCTTTGGGGCTTCGCGGCACATGTACTGGATGGCATCCTGGTCCCCAAGCCAGTCGCTGCCCTTGACGGTGTCGTAAGCATGCCACCGCCAGTCATCTTCTGTCATGTTGCCAAGGGCCGCATTGATGCCACCCTGTGCAGCCACGGTGTGGGATCTTGTGGGAAACAGCTTTGTGATGCACCTGGAGCAGATGCCAAACTTCATTCCAAGGGCGTGCCAATGGAATATGTGTACTCTGTGCTTTCCATGTTACCAAGGGATTGAATCAACACTATGAATGTGTGGGGTGGGAGTGACAGGCTTGCAACTGTAGAATTGCTGAAATCCTTCAAACTTGCCTTTGCAAAGACACTGCAGTGCCCTTGCACCTTGTAGGCGTTGATGGGCATGCATACATCCAAGAAGGGTTTTATGTTCCACATCATTCATCTGTTGTAGAGTTGCAGATTCTGGAATAGAAAAGAACAACATGCTGCTTATGTCTGTTGACAATGCTAGGAAAACATGACCAAATACTTGTAATATGCTTATAGCATGGCGTGATGAAGCCAAATTGGCACCATTTGAAATGGGCAGCAATTCAAAGTTATTTGCTTCTAGAGTCCATTTTCAAATCTAAAATGGGATATTTACCACATTGCCATGGATGCACCCAATTTGATATCACAGTTTTTACCCATACAATCCATAGTTATCTGCTGAATTTTTTTATGGTATGTTTGCCTTCACAGGATGAAGCGATCTGCAGCACAGGCACCAATGCCTGTGCCACTCAAAAGTTGAACATCAGCCTTCACATTGGGGTAAAGAGATTCACAGCAACTATTGTCAGAAGCAGGATTGCCCCCACTGACGAAATGTTTCTTCACTGCTGGGAAGGCACCATAGATTCAGGTCGACATCTGTTTTTGTGGACTCTGAATTCCAATGGCAGGCTCCTAGCACTATGGGGTGTACATTCGAAGCATTATTTGGGCGATGCATTCTTACTCACTGATGAGATGTTCTTTCCTGAGGAAACACTATTGGATGTGGGTGGACATCTGGGTTTGTGGACCCTGTGTACTAACATCAGGCTCCAGGCGCTATGCATGGGATGACCATTCGTAACAGTATTTAATTGCAGCTTTATCGCCCTCATCCCCCACAAGAGGCAATGCTTGTGTTTGCGACATGCAGACAAACACAAACGTTGGAGTTCATTCAAGTGCTGAAGGTGCTCCCCGAACATGCACAAATTCTGAACTACAGAAAACACACCATCAGGTACAGGATGCCAGCACTGCCAAGCAAGTGCAAGCAATTCCAAGTAACAAACAGCAGGCACCCACCACCAACAGGCCCATTCACCCACTGAACGACTGGCCAACAGTCACCCAATGAATCACAACAAAATCGCCCATCTCCAATATGTTAGTGAATTTATTTGTGTGCTATCTTTCTGGTTCAAGGAACAGGATAACATAAGAGCTTTTACTTGAAGCAAGCTGCAGGAATTACAAACTACTCAAGTGGCACAGTAGCTCACTTTCCATGTCGAAGATACATAAACGAATTAGAACCTGTGCATCGAATTTCCCCACTGGTGGCATCCAGGAATAGGGTTGGTCTAACGCGATCCTCCTGAAAACAATCCCGCCAAAACGAGTCAGAGGGGAAGGCCCGTGCAGTGGGGGAGCCAGGTCCTCAATTTGGACCGGCGCCTGTTCGAATTCTCAATCGGCCCACGGCGATCCAACAGCGATGCTTGGCGCGCGCCCGCCAGCACCCTCAACGGCACCAGTCAGGATCGGCGCCGAGCGTGTTAAGGAGGCACTGATGCGCTGCCAGCTCAGCACACATTGCTGGAGCGTTCGGTACTGCTGGCACAAGGCCAGATCTCCTTTTTCTCGACTCATATTCATGAGGAATTCAATTCCTGCACCCCTTTGCTCTCTAAGCGACTGCATGAGGTGAGAAGTAAGCCGCCACGGCGACTCATCGGTGGCATCCCTGCCTAATCGCGACCATTGTCGACAATCCCTCCGGGAACATCGCCTTAGAACATCGCCAACCAGGCGTCGGAAATCCACGCTCACTCCCCGTCCCTCCCCACCCAGCCAGCGCCCACCTGCGTGGCCTTAAGTCTTCCGCAACCGCATCGATGCACCCGGCCAAAAATTCCCAACTGACCCAACCCGGACGCGCAAATCACTCCCAGATCGCGCAGATTCGAATTGCCCCCTCCCCCCGCCAGAAACCCCCACCACTCCGTCCCCCGCTACCCGCAAGCGCAGCCCGCCTCGAGATCTCCCCCAAAAGAAAACACAAACAGAAAGAGAAAAAGAAAAAGAAACATACACCAGAAACGCAAAGAAAAATTTCAAATGCTTACGCTGTCTTGAAGCCCTGCTCCGCGAGGCCCACCACGGCCCTTAGCCCCGCGCCGCCCGCGCCCACGACGATCGCGTCGTAGGTGTGGTCGATCATCGGGTAGGCCGATTGGGTCGAAAATCGCGCCGCCTCGCGGCCATCCCGCGCCAGAGCCCCCAGCACCCGCCGGGCCCAGGACAGGCGCAGGCCCGACGACCCCAGCATCCTTTCGCCGGACCCAAAGATCGGATCGGCGGGTTTTCGAACAGAGGGAGGGGCGGGCGGGGAGGGAGGAGCCGATCCAACGGCCGCCTCCCACGGCCCGAGCCGGTCAGCGATTGCCCCAGAAGGAGTGTCGGTGGCTGTCGCGATGCTCGTCGAGCATATCGCGAGAAGGGAGGCCCGTGGAGCGAATTTTGAAATATCCTTCCTGTGATGTTCATTTTGGCGACCAACGTCCATCATGGATGCTGGAAATGAATGAAGGAACATCTCTCACAGGCAACATGAAAATTCCGCACAGTGGTCATGTCACGTGTCTCTGCTAGACTCAGATAATCAGATAGGATTTCCTTGCTAGCTGTTTATATTTGACCTCACAGTAATTGGCAAAAACCCCATCCCCACGGCATAATACAAGAGATTGATGAGTGTACAAATACCCCTCTTGTGATAATTACTTTTGGTGGTCGGCAGGTGATGGACGTGATTGTGAGGTAGATGAGCATATGGGAGCAATGGCCAATGGACTTGGGATAGTGGGTATGCAACCCCCTAGTGCTTGAGAGTTGTGTTAAGCCAAGTTTATGACTCCGTTGATCACCCTGTGGTATTTGAGAGCCGGAAGATCAATTCAGCAGAGGCGAACTACCCAACTCATGAACAGAAACTCTTGGCGATGACTTATGTGTTGAGGGCTTGGAGACAATACCTAGGAGGCAAGAAGTTCAAGGTTATCACGGACCACCACTCATAATGCTACCAAACTTGTTGAAGCGACAAGCAAGATGGCTAGACTTTTTGGCCAAGTTTAACTATAAGTTGATCAATAAGCCAGAAAAATCGAACGTGGTTTTTGATGCCTTGTCCAAGCTATATATGATCGAGTGCTTGTCGATCTCTGAAATGGAATTGGATTCGAAATTGCTGTGGAAGTTAGAAGAAGAGTATGTTCATAATTGTGACGTGGCTGCTTGGGGTTTAGGCTTATTTGACATTTCTGGAGTGGTAATTACGTAATTGGGTAAATTACCTTTTGCAAGTGTTACTTAGAGCTTCCTGGTTCCAACGCACCTTTAAACGCCCAATTCCGTTAAGAATTGACGAAGATATGGCCTCCTGAAGTCGTAGTACTTAGGGTCAGGGGGTCGGGTGTTAGACGCTTGGAATTAGAGGACAATGGGTCGATCGTAGGTGAACGGTGGACGGTGACGATGTGCCTCGACGCACACTTGACTTGTCTTGTCTTGATGTGACAGCGATGGACCTGCGATCGGGCATCGCGCATTCGAGTTTGTGCGCACGCATGCAATGAATTCGTGTAACCGTTCTGGCCCACTGCCTAGTCTCTCCACGACCAGCGAGCCACCGTCTAGCTGCACCACCACCGCCGCATACAGCAGGCCTCGGGGGACGATCCCCATCGTTCTGGGCCCACTGCGCATCCGAGGGAACGAGCGCCCCGCTACCGACCACCAAATTCGTTGGAGAGGGCCGGCTGACCTCCAACAGCCGAGCCGCAGGGCGTGGCGACCCCACGAGCTTTGGAAACCAGTGGCGCCCTTCAGGGCCGAAACAATAATGATGAGAGCAAAGCAATTTTTGAATATCCATCCAAATTTTAAATCCTAAATCAGCGCATCTATTGAGTTGATAATGGGTGATTGTAATTGTACGTGCCGCGTGGGACCTTGAGAAGTACACATATGACAGAATTTACATAAATTCTATCATAAGTGTACTTCTCAAGGTCCCACGCATATGTATACGTGATGCACGTTGTTCCGGTCATTTGCACATTAAGCAAACATTTAACTTGGTGAAGCAGGATCTTTATTAACCTTCTTTGGAGAATGATATGACGGATTTAATAAAGAGTTGTGATGCATGTCACTTGCACTGCAACAAGCCCTTGAATCAAAGAAGTGCTGGGTTATGCGCTAAGTTGGAAATACCTCACAATCGTGAGTATGGATTTGATCACTCATTCGCCAAAAACCCGATCAGGTTATGACGCTTTGTTGGTTATCATAACCATAACGGTGGATTATAGCACCAAGATGGTAGTGTTGAGACCAACAAAAGGGAAAACCACTGCTGTGGATGGGGCTAAGACTTTTGTGGATTCTGTTATATGAGTCCATGGTTTGCCGATAACCATTGTGTTAGATCGTGACAGCAAGTTCACGAGCCATTTTTGGAACGAAGTTTTCGAGAATATGGAAGCAACTTTGGTGATGTCGTCAGGATTTTATCATGAAATTGATGGCCAAATGGAGAGGGCGAACTATACGATTGAGGAGATCATGAGAGCGCTTGTGGGAGGACAACACAATTATTGGGATCAATGGTTAAGCATGGTGGAGTTTGTCTACAACAACGCCATGCAATCTTCAACTGGATTTACACCTTTCTACCTTTGCTATGAGTGATATCCAATAAATTCTGTAAACTTGTTGGCCGGAGCAGAGAACAAAAATGTCACAACTGAGGATTGGAAGGAGATGTTGTCCAAGGGTCTACTGTGAGCATGCAACAACTTGGCTCAAGAGCGCCAAAAACAATATGCAAACAAGAAGCAAACACTTTTGAAGTTGCGTATTGGTGATGAAGTTCTTCTATCTACCAAGTACCTCAACATCGCTGAAGCTGGACCAAGCCACAAGTTTGGACCGTTGTACATTGGACCATTCAAGGTGGCGGAGTGCTACATGGCAGCCTACAAGCTAGAGCTATTGGTGCACATCCGAGTGCACCTTATCTTCCATCTTTCTCAATTGAAGTTGTATCAAGCGCCAAAGGATGTATGAAGACGTTCCCAACCTCCCGAAGCAATGATCTCTATGGATGGCCATGAGGAGTAATTTATCGAGAAAATTATTAACTACTGACTGCAAAAGCACGGATGTCAAACCATCAAGAAGAACCTCATCTTCTGGGAAGGCTATCCTATCCATGAAGCGACTTGGGAGCCTTAATACAATATCCAAAATGTACAAGAGGAGATCAAGGAGTACTATGGCCGCATTGAGAATAATGTTTAGTTTAAAATGGGGAGATTGTAGTGATTGGATATTGTAGTGTACTTTGACGGGTAATTAAATAATGTAAATAGTCTAGATAAATTTATTTGTATTTAAAAATGCGTGCTACTCATGATCGTCACATTTATCTTGTTAAATGGGCCAATTTTTGGTATAATAAGTTTATCAAGATAATTTAAGTCATTTAGCCCATTTCTGCCCATTTGGGGTGTTATTTCTTAATGAAATCAGTGTGAGTATAAACATTATAATATATTATGATGTGGTGCAGAGTCATGGGCGGATAGGAGCCGCCAAGAAGTGGTGGAGTACACTCCAAGGGATTATGGGGTGATCCAGTAGTAGGGTACTTGTCAGGTGCCTACATTACATTGGATCATAGGTACAAGCGCCTTTACGGCCATGGTACCTTGGAGGGCCATGGTATTGCTTGGGGAAGCCACTTGGCATTACTAGAGGTATGCCAAGGGGCCAAGGGACCATGTGAGTAGCTCTCCAAGGGCCGAGGAGGTATTACAAGAGTGTATTGGATATTATAGAAGTCCGAGGGTATCATGACGAGAGGGGGAGCGCGCCACCTATAAAAGTCGGCATCCTATAGGCCATTTATCTCAGATCGCTGGTGCACTCGACCTTGTCTAGACCAGGGGGCCCACCAATATTGTAATAGATTGCCGAATGCCAATATTTTGCTTCGATTTGGTTGCCATTATCCTAGGGGATTCTACATCCACCACCCCTACTGTTGTCAGATTGGCTCTCACCAAAGTCTCCTACAGCTTGTAGGGTAGAGAGCTACATCATTCCTAGGCAGTGTGGTACTCCGTTTCCTCGCGCATTATGTGGCAATAGTCAAATAGGTCAAATTGCTCACCCCCAACACCCAACCCCATTATGCTTGTCCTCAGGGATAGGATGTTTTTGTTGCCTTCTGCCAACATCGCCATTATCCCAGCAGCATTAAGGCTGCACTCAAGGCCCATCATCACTGCCACCTGATCCAAGGGATTCTCCTCCGCTGCCGCAGGGCAATTTCCTTTAGCATGATAGTGTTATAAGGCATGCTGCTCTCTTCAGCCAAGCCTACCCTCAACCTCACTCATAACACACCTCCACTGTAGGGGCCTCTTGTGCTATGGCTGTCCTGGCAGCCAACCGGGCACTTGCCTTCATAAGGTGCTTCTTGAGCTTCCTGCCACCAACCATCGTGCAATACGCAAGAATGGTGGTTGGGGCATTGCTCCCAATGTTTGTAGGGGCTTGTGGCCATTCGGGAATCAAAATTCGGAATACACCTGGTCTTGACCCTGATCTTGACTAAGACCGGCCAGGACTGGGTCAAGGCCAGGCCAAGACTGGGGTCAAGACCAGCCGGTGCCGGGCACAAGACTATGGTTATGTGATACAGGCTCCCGTTTGGGCTCCCAATTCGGGTCCCGGTCCTAGTTCGGTCTCGGTTGGTCCGGCCCAGACCTGGCCTAGTTCTGGCCGGTTTTAGGGCAGCCAACCGCAAGGCCTAGATTGGATTTTTGTCCGGCCCTGGGTTCAATCCCGGTCCCAGTCCTACGAGGCCCACCTTTGGCAATAAGCAACCCGATATCTGGGGCCCGGACGGACCCCGAGGATTATTGACCGGAACTGGGTGTAGCCTATGGCTAGATGCAAAGGGACCAAGATGGGGGCGGTATCTAGTGGTCAGCCTCTGCAATATGAATTTTGCACTTACATGCAGTTCTATGTATGTATGGATAACCATTTCTATCAAAGCATCACCCCAAAGTACTTTACTTCCCCCTTTTCATGAATTGAACAATAACCAGATGGTTTTATGCATGCATGGTCACGTCATCATTATTGACATCTATTAGAGGCAAATACCCCATTGTTCAAAATGTGATGGGTCGTTGATAATAAGCTAATCTCTACTATACACAATGCATTTTTCTCCTCTTCCCTTTTGGACATAGCCCTCACCATTATAATATCCAAATATGCATGTTTGAAAGGTATACCAATTGTTCTCCTTGGCATGTGCTCCACAAGTGCCGTTGAGATCATTTGGTGGGCTCTAATATTTTTGGAAGTCTATATTGGGAGTCTCTAGGCAAGC